TGAGATGGGTCTAATAAAATATTGACTGCGATTTCTGTCAGACTGTATAAAATACATTATAGGAATGTCTGACTGCAAACAGGTCAGAATGTGAGGCAAATGCCTGGCGGATTGGAGCAAATGTTACTAAAGTTATCTTGATTGTTACCATTGTACAGCCACCTGTAATGATCCTCAGAGGGCTAAACTAATTGTTAGATCTAAATCTATCTACACCATATTCATATTATTCAGTCTGTTCAGAAGGTCAAACTTCTTAAGCTGTGGGATAACAATCAAAGCCCAAAGGAGAGCTTTATACATCAGCACAACCTCCCTTTTGGACATGTTAAGATAAACTGGAGATTACAATAAAGAAAGAGATAAACTCTCTTTGATAAAACTCCCACAAACTCTTCCCACTCAGGCATTCTTCATTTATAGCCTCATCACTGCCTGTGCAGGGAGGGCAGCGACCATCCACATCATAAAAGAGCAGACATGTGTGTGTGTGTGTGTGGACCTCGGCGTGTGTGATGGGTGTTGTGTGTGTGTGTGTGTGATGTGTGTGGTGTGTGTGTGTGCGTGCGTGCGTCGCGGCGTGTGTGTTTCCACCTCTATACCTATCATCAGTGAGTCTAACATTAGCCAAAACAAGAGAGCTAATGTAAGAATAGAATCAGCCATCCAGCATACAACAACTAAGTGTGTGTGTGGTGTGGTGTGTGTTGTGTGTTGTGTGTGTGTGTGTGTGTGGTGTGTGTGTTTGTGTGTGTAGGTGGGCATTTAACACTCGTATTTTTGTTTGTGGGCTCTGAATGGGAATGATTTATAGTGACAAACAGCATCAAATCCGAATTATGGTCAATAGTTGACTTTTTATAATAACAATTATTAAGTTACTGAGTTGCTGCTGTTACATATGATAGCCATTCTAATTATATTCAACTTCTGTTGTGGTTTTATTAACTTTCATCTACTGTACTATTAAACACATGCATATCTGATTAGTGTCCGGAACAAAAGTAAAGGAGAAAAAATGCTTTTACATACCTGCCAACTTACTTGGAGGCATTCTCAAAAAACTTTGTTTTAGAGGCAACACTGCAGAAAAGGAAGAAAACTGACATGTTAGTATAAAAGATTCTTCCTTTGTGATCCAAAAGTCAGCACGTATCATTTGTTACAGAGTACCTTTTTTAATGCTCCACTCTCTACGTAAATGGTACGTATCTGGGTGTTACATTCATGTGTATCCACGAAAACCAAGAGC